GCAAACTCAGCTAAGATTTGATCAATGTTAAAATAAAGTTCAAGCATGAATTAAATCAAAGTTTGAATATTGTTTGAACATAATATGAACATAGTTTGAATTTATTATTTCGCTCTTGCCATCTCTTTTGAAATTAAATCATTTTAGTTGCCTTGTTATCTATGTAGATGTTTACTTTAATCATACTTAGATGGAGACATTATACTACTCTGATCACATGCAGAGTTCGGAGTATACTTGATGCGGAGCATCGTTGATACGGTGTTATGCAGGAACATTTTATCAAGCCATGTGCATTGGCTGTTAAGGACGTTCTCCACTTTCCCTCATTTACTTTATTTCTGTTTTTAGGCCGTTGGCATATGAGCCAACTATAGTTTCTTTTTACAGATATAGTATACCGTAGCTTCCATATTACCACGGGAATAGCCGTGGTTCATCAGTTCTTGCATTTTAACAAAGTTTCTAGTAGTTCTGCTACTGTTCCATTGCCTAGCAAATTTCTCTGTTTTTCCAGCTAACATTTCTGTGCAGATTACCTACATCAGATTGGTATCAGAGCCAGATGGCTGAAAGCAGTAGACGGGTGGCTCCCGGGGAAGAACGAAGCCTTGAAGCCCTTTGGGCAGAACATCGGCGACTATCGCAGCATGTCGAGGAAGTTGCTACCGAAGCTCAACAATTCCAGGCGGATGTGCGGAGAGACCTGCGTTCAATCCTGATGCGATTGGATCGTAATCCGACAATGCGGACGACAATGCTGTTTAATCCCACCGGTAGGCGTGGAATAGAGGGAGGAAGGGTCCCGAACAGGGATGCATCCGATTCCGACGAAGGTGTGGAAATGTTCAGAGATCTGGAACTTTCGGATTCGGAGGAAGATACAGGGTATCATCACCGGCGGCGAATAAGAGGGAATGATCGACAACACAGCGAATTTCGCGTGAAGATGGACATCCCATTCTTCGACGGGAGATTACACATTGAAGACTATTTAGATTGGGAGCGCGCGGTGGAGACATTCTTCGAATACATGGACGTCGAGCCGATGAAACAAGTAAAGTACGTTGCCTGTAGACTGAAATCGAGAGCTAGTCCGTGGTGGCTTCAGCTATTACAGTCTAGAAGAAGAGAAGGCAAAGGACCGGTACGCAGTTGGTGGAGAATGAAACAACTACTCAGAGGTCAGTTCTTACCGACCGACTATGAGCAACTATTATACATGCAATATCAGCACTGTTCGCAGGGAAATAGATCCGTGAGTGACTACACGGAGGAATTCCACCGACTGTGCGCAAGAAATAATTTAAATGAAAATTCGAATCAGTTAGTAGCAAGGTATGTGGGGGGACTGAAAGAGGCTATACAAGAGAAATTGGAGCTAAACACTGTCTGGCCATTGTCTCAGGCGGTAAACTATGCTTTAAGGGTGGAAATGCAAATGTCCAGGCACGGGAAGAGTAGCCAAGGAAAGAAGTTTGCTGAACCCGCTTCAGACAGCAATCGTTCAGCCAATATGAATATGGCTCCAACTGGACGTGTACAATCCAGCGGTGGAGGAAATTACATACCCAACAATGCTGTCAACAAGACGGGGTAGACTAAGTTTACACCGAAGTTCAAAGGTCAGTCCAAAGATAATCCTTATGATAAACCCACAACAATTAAATGTTTCAGGTGCTTCCAGCAAGGACATAAATCTAATGAGTGCCCAACACGACCCCAATTACACATAATTGAGGCTGAGGATGAGGATGCAATTGACGAGGCAGATGAGGTTCTCGAAAATACGCTGGAAGATGTAGGGGGGGATGAAGGCGAACCATTAGTATGTGTAATCCAAAAACTGCTCTTCGCACCAAGAGTAGCAGACAAATCACAAAGAAACCGCATCTTCAAAACCAAAGGCACTATTATTGGGAAAGTTTGTGATGTTCTGGTGGATAGTGGATGCACTGAAAACGTAGTCTCTAAGGCTGCAGTTCTGACTTTGCAACTTAAAACGTCTCCAAACACCCACCCGTATAAGGTGAGCTGGGTAAAAAAAGGGGTTGAAATGGCTGTCACTAAAAGTTGCGTTGTTCCATTTTCCATTGGGAAAAATTATTCAAGTGAAGTAGTATGCGATGTAATCGATATGGATGTAAGCCATTTAATCCTCGGAAGACCTTGGCAATTCGATATGGGAGCCACACACGATTGTAGATCAAACACATATACTTTCAATTGGAAAGGAAAGGTGCTGAGACTGCTGCCGGGCACAGGGGAATTAGAACCAATCGTTCACGATAATAAAGCTTCAATGCTTGTAGTTTTGGGAAATCAACTACTTCATGCCTGGAGAACATCGTCTCAAATCTTGGCCCTCATTGTTAAGGAGCAGAATCATGCAGTTAAGGAAAGTTGGCCAGATACTGTGAAGGAGCTGCTGAAGAAATACGCAGATCTCGGACCTATCGAACTCCCAGCAGAGCTACCTCCCTTGAGAAACATTCAGCACAACATTGACTTAATACCGGGATCAACAATACCAAACCTGCCACATTACAGGTTGTGCCCGAAGGAGCAGAAGATTCTACAGCAAATTGTAGAGGAACTGTTGGAGAAACAGCTAATTCAACACAGTCTGAGTCCGTGTGCTGTTCCGGCCTTGTTGGTACCTAAGAAAGACGGAAGCTGGCGCATGTGTGTAGATAGCAGGGCAGTGAACAAGATTACGGTTAAATTCAGGTTCCCCATGCAAAGGATTGAAGAAATGCTGGAAAGGCTAGCCGGGTCCCAAATTTTCTCTAAATTGGACCTAAGAAGTGGGTATCATCAGATAAGGATTAGACCCGGAGACGAATGGAAGACAACGTTTAAAACGCGAGAAGGACTTTATGAGTGGCGTGTAATGCCATTCGGATTGTGCAACGCTCCAGCTACTTTCATGAGATTAATGAATGAAGTCCTCAAGCCATTTTGAATAAAATATGTGTGGCATACTTTGATGATGTGCTGGTATTTAGTTCTAACTTGGAGGAGCATTTGCAGCACCTTGAACAAATATTTGAGGCCTTCCGACAACACAAATTGTATCTAAATTTATCGAAGTGTGAATTTGCCACGGAGGCTGTATACTTCCTAGGATTTAAAATTTGGTCGGCGGGAGTTTGTGCAGATCCTAGGAAAGTAGAAGCCATAGTCGGCTGGCCTACACCTAAATCCTTCACCGACATAAGAAGCTTCCATGGTTTGGCGAATTTCTACAAGAAATTTATAAGGGGCTTTAGTGTCATCCTTGCTCCTTTGACAGATGTGTTGAAACAGAAGCAATTCGTGTGGGGAAGTGATCAAGAGGCTAGTTTTGAAGCAATAAAGTCAGCTGTTTCTTCTGCTCCGGTATTAGCCTTACCAAGAGACGGATGCTTCTACGGTGGGTATTGGGGCTGTGTTAACTCAAGAGGGCAGGCCCATCGAATTCTTCAGTGAGAAATTATGCCCAGCACGACAACGATGGTCTGTTTACGAACAGGAATTGTATGCGGTAATTCGAGCATTAAAACAGTGGGAGCACTACTTGTTGCACCAGGACTTCATTTTATGTAGTGATCATAAGGCACTACAATATATAAACACTCAGAAAAATATCAATCGTATGCATGCGCGATGGATATTATTTCTACAGAAATTTACATTTGTATTAAAACACAAGAGCGGCGCCCAAAATCGAGTTGCCGATGCACTAAGCCGCCGATCCGCCCTTATTACTCAGTTGCAGACAGAGTTTTCTGGATTAGAATTGCTTCAAGATTTATACCCAGAGGACAAAGACTTCGGTCAGCACTGGCGCCAGTGTATTCACAAGGAATCCAGTGATGATTACAACTTGAGGCACGGGTTCTTGTTTAAGGGAAACCTTCTTTGTATACCACAATCATCATGGAGGCAGCGAATAATTCAGGAAGTTCATGGAGGAGGGTTAGCTGCTCATGCGGGACGGGACAAAACGCTGGATCAGCTACAAAGCAAATTCTACTGGCCTCACATGAGAAGAGATGTCAGCAAGTATGTAGATCGCTGCTCAATTTGTCAAATGTATAAGGGAGGAGGACAGAACACTGGACTTTATCAGCCGTTACCAATACCCGAATCTATATGGGAAGATTTAAGCCTGGACTTCATTCTCGGATTACCCCGCACCAAGCGAGGAAACGACTCGATTATGGTCGTTGTGGACCGCTTCTCCAAAATGTCTCACTTTGTCGCCTGCAAGAAAACGTTTGACGCACAGAATGTTGCTAAACTATTTTTTAGGGAGATCGTCAGACTCCATGGAGTATCTCGAAGTCTCACCTCAGATCGGGATGTGAAATTTATCAGTCACCTTTGGCGGGAGCTGTGGAAAAGGTTCAAGACGCAAGTTCAACTGAGTTCGTCATATCATCCCCAAACGGATGGGCAGACGGAGGTCGTTAATAGAACTCTGGGAAACCTTTTGCGCTATTTAGTACAAGAGCAGCCAACTTTATGGGATGAAGTGCTATGCCAAGCAGAGTTTGTATTCAACGCCATGACGAACAGGTCTACGGGTATGTCTCCATTTGAAATTGTATACACTAAAACACCAAATACTGTGTTAGATGTTGCAGCAATTCCGAACTGTAAGAGCAAGGCCGCAGCTGCGATGGTAGATCAATTTGCGGAGCTACTAGCCAAGGTGCGCTCAAAACTGGAAGAGTCCAATGCCAAATACAAACGGGATGCAGATTGTCACAAGCGAAGGCAGGTATTCAAACAAGGTGATCTTTTGTGGGTGCGGATGAAGAAGGAAAGATTGCCAGCCGGGGCATACAGCAAACTCGGTCAAAGGAAATTCGGCCCATTTCCAGTCCTTCGTCGAATTAACGATAATGCCTATATCGTTCAGCTACCTGCGGAATTCAACACACCAAATACTTTCAACGTTGCAGATTTATACCACTATCACCCAAAGGATGATGATCTGGTCGAACCAACGACAGGGCTGCAACTTTTTGGAGAGGGGACATATGATGCGGAGCATCGTTGATACGGTGTTATGCAGGAACATTTTATCAAGCCATGTGCATTGGCTGTGGCTGTTAGGGACGTTCTCCACTTTCCCTCGTTTACTTTATTTCTGTTTTTAGGCCGTTGGCATATGAGCCAACTATAGTTTCTTTTTACAGATATATTATACCGTAGCTTCCATATTACCACGGGAATAGCCGTGGTTCATCAGTTCTTGCATTTTAACAAAGTTTCTAGTAGTTCTGCTACTATTCCATTGCCTAGCAATTTTCTCTGTTTTTCCAGCTAACATTTCTGTGCAGATTACCTACATCAATACTGAAAAAAATTATTAGATAATTTGAAGCTAATGATATCATTATGTTAAATATTAAATATTGACATGATATTGTTAATGCTGAATTTTATTGATTAGCATTTGAATGTGCTCGTAAATAATAATGCAAATGTATGCATTTTGATTATATAATTTGGTTTAGCATTATTTTAAAATAATTTAAATTACTCTTTTGATTTTTTGTTTGATGGTTTGAACTCATGATTATAATTTAGAAATACACTTCCTTATTTAGGGCAATTAAGCAATTTATAGAGAAGTGCATGAGTATCTTAAGCACTATACTTAGGGGTGTTAATTTCAGGTCATGGGTCGGGTTCGGGTTGAACCCGAAATTGACACGGCGCTATTCGGGTCAACCCGAACCCGACTTGTTTTTGAAAATATGTGAGTTTTTTAGAATTGAACCTGACCCGCTTCGGCTCCGGGTCAACCCGACACGCCCCAAATGACCTTATGCCAACAAAAATTGCTAGTTTTCGGGGTCAAAAAATGGGTAAATATCTCTTTTCGTGTCCAAAACGGGTCATTCTCGGGTTGTTGGGTCAAAAATGAATTTTCGGGTAAAAAAGTGTCAGTTTAGGGTCAATTTTGGGTCAAAAAACCCGAACCTGATCTAATTTTTAAAACGGGTCAAATTGTTGAACCCGACTGTTTCGAGTTCGGGTTGACCCTAATCCAAAATTTTTGGGTCGGATTCGAGTCGAATTTTCGGGTCATGTCAAATATGTACACCCCTAACTATACTATACTAAATATAAAGAGGCTGGTTTCATCAATATTCAATTGTGAAACACTTTTTTGAGACATAAGAGCAAGCAGTTCAATTATGTTGTGTTAATGGATTTTGTGATTGTATTCAATCATATCAAAGCTTTTGCATGTTGTGTTATAGTTGTGATCATACTCACTTTGTTGTGGTAAGAACATTGTAATTAATTTGATTTAATGTAATGCGGAATTAGTATTATGCAACGATGTAATGTAGCTCATTGTGATGTGTTATAGCTTTTGGATTATACTATATTATGTTTATCTTATAATATGTTGTCTTATAGTTATTGCATTGGCACTATTTGAAACTTATTCAAATCATTTTAAGCATTGTTTAACTCAATATAATCATGTTCTAAACTTATGCTTATAAATGTTATTAAAATATCGAAATAGTATTCAAATTTAGTATAAATTCTTTTCAATAATGTTTGAACTTATCTTTAAAATAGAACGTATGGTTTAAATATAGTTCGAATAAGACTCAAATTTTCTCACAGATGATATCAACCTTGACCAAGTATTATTTGAATCTTATATAAATTATTTTTGAATCAATTTTAGTCAGTACAGACTTAAAATACGTACTCTACGGTTAAAAGAAGAGTATTTTAATTTGGTATAGGGAAAATTTTCATGTATATTTTCTCAAGAAATGAAACATATGACATTTTTTTTTCAATTTTTGCTATTATTAGGCATTTAATGTCAAGTTTCCCTAAAAAATTAATATGTGGCATGTAAAATTTTAGATATTTCAAAATGTGATGAAACTTGTTAAATGTAACTTGTATATTGAAAATCAAAATTACTAATATAATATTTAGGCTAACAATTATTTGAATTATCAGATATAAATTCAAATTGAAAAAAAAAAAAAGTTATACTTCTCTAAAAAGAAAAAAAAATCAAGTGCACGCACATAGCGTGTGTAAGGGGAAGAGAGAAAGAATTATAGGACAATTTTTTTTTAGAAGAATATGATATATTATCCTAAAAAATGTTATATTCTTTATCATATCGTCGGTATCTTAAATAGCTTACTCTTTTTTAACTCCCAATATTGTATTTAATTTTTTGAGATTTACTTTAAATCAGAACCAATTATGCTTATTCATGAATTATATAAAATCTTAACCTTCCTTTTTAACTCACACTTGAATCTTAACCATTTAAGTGTAAGCACAATCAAACTAATATATGCATGCATAGATATAAATTATACTTTACATAATAAAATCATATCAAATTATTTAAAATGATCAAATATATAACAAATCAAAAGTTACACAGTAAAAGGTTACGAAATCAGGATAAAATATATTATTTGTAGGTCTAACATAGATAAAATTCATAGAAATCAAAATCATCAAATACAGGAGTAAGAGAATTGTCACTTACAATGATAAGAACATTTTTTTATAAAAAAGTAATATAATCCCACCTCGGCCGCCCACTAGCACCGATATCACATTATAACACTTCACATCTTACTTTTCAATGCATTTCATTAATTAAAACATAATTGGATTGAATTAAAAAATTACTAAAATGTTGTAATGGTAGACAAAAAAAAACTACTGAGCAAAAATTTATAATTTTAAAATATAACCAAATTATTAGAGATTGTATAAAACATCATTTTGAAGTTTTAACTCAATTAAAATACTATTTTTAGATACAGTTTAAACTAATATGTTGGAATTATCAGAGGTGTTCATCCACAAATTAGTAATAATTGTGAATATAATGAACAACCAACTTGCAAATACAGTCGCAAATAAATAGTGATCAATTATAT